AACATGGGTCACTCATGTGATCTGAAGCAGTTATCACCATGATCCACCACTAAAACGACCCATGGTAACAATCAGTTCAATTCTCATGCCTGCATGGGGACCAGCCCCCCCCCCCCCCCCACCCACACCAAGGCCGGCATGTACCAGCAGTTACAAAAGGGAAGAGCTAACAGTTAAGCACCGGTTCTTGTACGAGCAGAGCAATGCAATGGATGTACCCCTAAACAACAACAAAAAATAGAAGACAACTATCGAAAAACCACTACCAGTTGATGAAGGGGCACATGAGGCGGCGGCACGGCACAGTGTGTGCAAAGGCAAGTGACAAGCTATTAAATCATTACCATTGCACAATGCATACTACTACAGTGATCAAGGTCAAAGCGGCGTGTGTGTGTGTGTGTGTGTGTGTGTGTGTGTGTGTGTGTGTGTGTGTGTGTGTGTGTGTGTGTGTGTGACCGGGCAGCAGATGAACAAGGCATCCAAGAGAAAAGTAGAAAAAACGGAGATTTAAAGGTGTGAGCGGAGCGCATCGTTTTAGCACATGCACATGCAACAAGAGTGTCTGTGAAGCGAGTAATGATGCAAGACCAGTTGCAGCCATTCTGTGCTGCCTCTAAACTCAAAATTATAGGCCACAGGGCAAACGTTATCATACATGTTCTAACAAATATTAATTGGGGGAAAAAACAAATTCATCTCAGCTTATCTGGCTCTGGCAGGCTTGGAAACATTATAGACAATTTCATTTCTCCCAAACTTCAAATTAATTTAGCCTGCAAAGAGCATACAGAAACGTATTTGTTCTTGAGGCAGAATGTTGTGACAATGCAATGTAGGTTTTAATCATATTATAGGCACTCCAATGAAGAGCAGATATCTATACAGAGAGAGAGAGAGAGAGAGAGAGAGAGGGGGGGGGGGGGGAAAGAGGGCATGCAGACACGAGGACACATCCTCATGCAAAAGAAATAAAGAAAACTAGTTACATGAAAGTGTTGCATGAAAAAAACTGAGAGGTGATACAGGAACCTGGCATCAAATGTTGCATGGGCGACCAACTTCATCGAGCAAGAAAACAAAAAGCTGCTAAACAGGATATGGTCAGTTAATTCACAGAAAGAGGTCACTTGCACCAGTGAACCTGAGACATCAGTATTGTTGTGTGGCTATCAACGTTATAGAGTTGATAGGCATTTCCCTCCCACGGCGGGACCAAGGAGAGCGCAGGAAGATCAGTGAAGTGATCTTGGCAAAGAAGATCAGTGGCCCATGTTCACTGCAAGTATTGCGTACTAGCTACTGGTGATCCCAGCATGGGCTCCATGCATGCGGCTAGAAAGTTGAGATGAGAAGCAGACAAACCAAGAATTCACGCATGGTCAGAAAAGGAACAGTGTGTCACGGCTAGGCCTACTGCAATGGATCAGCTAAGGTTACATGAAGAAATACATGTTTGTCATGGGCAGCTGGAGTTCTGGATGAAGTACCGGTACTGTTGCAAAAGAAGGATCCACGGGCGGGATTCGAAACCCAGCGCCCCTGTCTTTCCGGGACAGTGCCCTACCGATTAGGCTACCGGGGATCACACATACCCGTGGCTCCTTCTTGCCACAGTATCTTCCCATCGCCACGTCAATTACGGATAAGATCGCATGTCGGCAACCAGCATAACCGATACACCCTTCAGGGCATCGACTCAACAATAGAACCTCACTTATCTGGCCACCTGCACCACATAAGCGCTCGTAGCTCAGATATAACGCTAGACTTAGCCACAGGGGAGATGACATGTCACACTCTTCGGCTGGGCCCACTGGCCCCAGGTTGATACCACTCACCACTCACCAGCATAACCAGAGTAAAAGCTGAGGGCTGTGATATTGCATGCGGCAAAGTGGTTCAGCTGGCCGCCATGAAAGAGGATTTCAAGATTCGACTGCAAGTACCTACGTGCAGGGTACTACTAGGTGGACGGAGGTGGTCAGGTTCGCGAGAACCGGATAAGAAAGGTTCTACAACTGTACTGTACACTGTACTGTACATGCGCCCGAGAGTCACTAAAAGTATGCACGCTTCCAACAGTGCATACTTGCCCTGGGATTGCGGTATGCTCTGCCGAAGGGAAAAAAAACCTCGTGCGGTGAAGGCCCACATTGAATGTATCCCGAGAGAGTCGTAGCATCAAGGGGGACGGCACAAGATCATAGTACCCGAAACGATGTGCGTCTCGATTCTGAATTAGGAAGGTGTATGTGATCCGTGGTCAATGCAACTCAAGATCGCGGCTTTAGCGTACTGACGCTGAGTGATGCCACAAAGGAAGCGTGGATAAACCGGCACTGCCCACGAGCGACTGGAACAGGCAGCCTGGTTGCGAAACCACCATCATTTAGAGTTATATTACAGTCAGCCGTGCCATCTACCTAGATGCTACGACTCTCTGGCATCCAGCAAGTTAGGCTGTCATCACGCTACGGTAAAAAGCGCTGCGTCTACATCCACATAAGGTGTTTTTGGTCGGTTACCATGATGATCCATGTACGGAGTGAAAACGGGAGCAGAGGAAACGGAAAACGTAGACGTGGTAGGGAGAGGGGGGTATAGTTTTCGGATGAACGTACGTATGTCACCCAATCATTTTTCCAAGCGACCTTGTACGTGCGTTTCAATTTTCCACTTTCTCCAGAAACATGACGGCGTGTACACTGGAGGAGATACGCACATTCATCCAAAAGTCGTATACCCCCCCCCCCCCATGTCTACTCTCCCCGTTTTCGCCCCGTATACGGATCATAGACGCAGCGCTTTGTACCGCGGTGTGATGACAGCCTTAGAAAGGAGTTCAGTCCCTGAAGGAAAGTGGGAAAAGGCGCGGCACATTCAAACTGCCCGTAGTAGCAAACGTGCAATTTACTTGCATCGATTTTTGCACCACATGATACCTTTTTTGCCCTGGTCGACCCAGTGTGCAGAGTTGCATATTCCTGTGAGCTACTGTTGACTGATATTGGATAGTGCAGTGTACGAAAAGGTGGCTCCACAGGGCAATGGCACTACGAAGAAGAGCTGCTTGGCATTTGCGCAAGTCAGGCGAAGGCTCGATTTCAGCGGCGGGTAAAGATCCAGGTCAAGTGTCAAACACCCAGCTACCAAATACTGACAATTCACGACTGCTTGGCATCGAACAACGCAGCCGAACGTTAACGCAAACAATATGGACCATGTCCAATGCTGTGTACACGGCATCACTCCTGGATGTCACCATCGCCGACAGCACGAGGATCAGAACCAGCCAAGATAAGAAGAGGAGAGGGACGTCAGTTTCAAAGCCTGTTCCTGAAGAAGCATTTTAATTAAGCTGATTTCTCAAAACAGGTTTCAGTCTTGTCTTACAGCTGGCTAAGTTATGATTATTTTATTCGCACGATGTCAATTATCATTGTATATTGAGTATCATAGGTATTAGTGCGCATTCAATATTTCAATTAGGCAGCACAAAGAATTAATTTGAAAATAAGGGCAGCATTGGAAGAATGTCACTGTTGGATTATGTTTTTAAACAGCACATGGTGTGCCGCCAATGGGCAAGTTACTCAGGCCTTTTCCCTGTCTTAGTGGATAAAGAAGACAAACACAAGCTCTCAGAGTGTTTCAATTCAAAAGAGTTCACATTAATTTAAGTTACATACATCAATTAGAGTCAGTTCGATGCCTTAGCGATACCGGTGAGGTTGAACCTGTGAAACAAAGCCATATCGCACAGATTTAAACAAAAAGGCTAAAGTAAAAACGGTCGAGTTCAGGTGTTAGTGGGTCTCCACAAAAAAATAGAGAGAAGATGACTATATTTAACCTATCTGTGGTGACAAGCCAAGGTTAACATTTTGTTGTTTGCAACTTGTCATTGTTCCCGAAATAATTCACAGTTGCACAAGTCTTTCGAACAAGTTGATATAGAGGAGTCAAAGATTCACTTCCCCCACTATTACACACACGCACAATATGATGACAAATTCCTGCCCTTTTCAATAATCAGACTGGCACTTGACATGCGTTGTTCCAAATCGAGCATACTTCAGTACATTGTAACAACCCAGTTCAGAGATTACAATTGTGAACTTTTATGTTAGATGGCCTTAAAATTAAGGAAACTTCACTCCTCTTGCATAAAATTCATTCATTTCCTCAATTTATCAAAGCAGGCAGCAGGCAGGCTGCACATGCCGCATATCAGTGTGCACAGCGGTATATGCGCGCTACTGACCTGCGCTATGTAAGCTGGACCCGATGACAACGCTGTCTATATTAATCTTGATGGGCACACCGTCGTCTGCAGAGGAGTCATTGCCAGTCCTGATGATGACGACCCCTGCACCGGCGCTGTGAGTACTGGCCTTTGGCGAGTAGTCTACAGAGCAGGCGGTGCCCGAGCGAATGTAACCTTGGCCAGGGTGCAGATGTGTGTCCGCTGTGTGTGGGAAAGTCAAGTTGCCATGTACTTTATCAGATTAAAGATGCAACACAAACCAAGGGTTAATTGTCAATGTAGTTTAGAGAGAGAGAGAGAGAGAGAGAGAGAGAGAGAGAGAGAGAGAGAGAGAGAGAGAGAGAGAGAGAGCCAGAGAGAGAGAGAGCCAGAGAGAGAGAGAGAGAGAGAGAGAGAGAGAGAGAGAGAGAGAGAGAGAGAGAGAGAGAGAGAGAGAGAGAGCCAGAGAGAGAGAGAGAGCCACAGCCACAGCCAGAGAGAGCCAGAGAGAGAGATAAAGCCAGAGAGCCACAGCCACAGCCAGAGAGAGAGAGAGAGAGAGAGAGAGAGAGAGAGAGAGAGAGAGAGAGAGAGAGAGAGAGATGGAGAGATGGAGAGAGAGAGAGAGAGAGAGAGAGAGAGAGAGAAAGAGGGAGAGAGAGAGAGCCAGAGAGAGAGCCAGGGACAGAGAGAGAGCAAGAGAGAGAGAGAGAGAGAGAGAGAGAGAGAGAGAGAGAGAGAGAGAGAGAGAGAGAGAGAGAGAGAGAGAGAGAAATAGAAGCGTGATGGAGCAGAAGAAAACGAAGAAGGAGGACCGTGTCAATCCCAGGTGACAGATAACAGTTATACAGAGAACAAAGCTCGTATGCAGCGTCAGACTGGCTGTATACCGAAATGCAAAACGTTATCAGGGGTGTGTTGCTAAAATGCCAGCTGCAGGCTACCAATAGTTTGAACGTCCATTGGAAGGGGTCTCCTAGCATTGAGCTGCATGTGGGTATTTGAATCTCGGAAATCTTTCGGTGCTCAGAATTTTCGATAGGAGGGCAAAAGACAGAAATTGCAGGTAAGGAGAAGCAGTCCCTTATCGGATGTGTGTCAGGGTTAGGCTAGCTCTTGAAAGTTAGGTATAAAAAAGATGCAATGAACGAAAATTTGGGAAAGTACAGTATATTCCAGAGACCATGCATGCGTGGGGAATGGTGGCTCAAGAGATGATCCCCATACATATACATTCAGTTGTCTGAAGATTGCCATCTGGCATGAAACTACAAGTATTAGTTACAACAATCCAGATGCGTGGTACTCTGTGACTCGTGTATACATATAGGCTTTAAACTTTAGCCGTGAACAAGAATGACATGTAAGTGGGCAGGATTGGGAATAGGGATAAGAGTTCCCCAGACGACCAGCAGTCAGCCACAAAATGACCGATCCCGCACAGCTAGCCGATCAGGGCTGAGGATGGGGAAAGTGTAACTTGACTCCACGCAGCAACTCATGGAGGGAAGTGCAGTGGAGAGAAGTGAGCAGGCACGGGACTTGGCGAAACCACTGTACAGTCAGGCTTTGCTGCTTAGAACAGGTAGCCATACCTCTACATGTGTATACATTCCAAATGTATATACCTCAACAGGTAGCCATACCTCTAGTAGAGTCTACATGTATATACATTCCACACCGACACACACCCTCCAAGTAATCGCATGCTTTTACGCACACAACTGCACTGTGCGTTTAGCACAACTGTAAAGAAGTTTACATCATCGTCCTTTCAAAGCAGTCCCAGTGTCTCAGATTATATCTTCCAGGGATTCGTGTTAAAGGAATCATCACTCAAGGCAGGTTAGTAGCTAGATTCAGTGCATAATCTTTGAGCACTGCTTCAACAATAAGATTTTTTATAGATAAGCAGAGACTAGTTCAGTGCCTCGCCATATTCAGCACCAGCACAAGGCTACTCATGGGAATCAGCGTTAACAATTTAACAATATCATGTTATCGTAGACAGCTGCTACATGGCGACTGCTATCATGCATTTAGATTCATTGAGGTGTTTTCAAGCCATTTCCATTTACGCAGAGGCATTTCAAGATAAGAGTCATCGATAGCATGCATACATCACTAATTTAAAACTACACTGTCTCATGTGCACTGCCTACATTCAATTTACAAGCATGCACTCTCATCCTACAGGTTAAAAATAGTCATAGTGGCAGCACAGCTGCAGGGTACTAGATTAAAAACATGCCCACGCCACCTCCTTCGTATCTATGAAGATGACCAGCGTAACTAACGCGGTTAAGTTAAAACTGATAGCCGTTCATTCGTCCAAGGAACTGGCAGATATATTCTACGAGATGTACATCGGGGTGAACAGAGGTGGACAGTATTCTAAAAGGCTTCTCTAACGGCAGACTTCAAGCTCATTTGTATTCTTGAACGGTGACGGCGGCATTGGTGTCAAGTTGGTTTGCAGGAAAAATACCACTCCGGAATCTAACATGTCCTTGTTCCCGCATTCGTCAAGGATGTCTATGCAATGGACAAATACCAGTGCAAAGAGCCACAACCTAGGCTCAAGCAAGGCCTGCCAGGCAAGCCAACAGTGAACCACAATAGCAAGAACTATCTCTTGCTGCCAAATTAGATTAAAGAACAGCGGCAGTCATGTGAGCACTTCCAAGATGGCCGACTTGGTAAGGTCATGGAGTTTTCCCTGGAGAAGCTTAATAATCTAAAAACATAATTCCAGCAACTGCTACTCTCTACGACGTATGTCTAGACATCAAAAGGAAAGCTCCGTTTTGTGTGTGTGTGTGTGTGCGCGCGCGTGTAAAAGACTATGGCGTTTCACCTGGCTGTGGAAGAATGAAATGGTGCATGGAAACCTGCAATATTCTTCCTTTTCCAAGACTCTTGCATTTATTGCATTTCTATTTCCTGATACTCCTAACTTAGTTGCTGAGGATATCAAAGTGAACAGATCTGACTTATAAAGGGGAAGTTAAGCCTAAAATCAAATTTTCACCAGTTGTAGTCTTCGGGGTGCTGAATCGAATGGTCGTGGTCCGAGGAAGCTGAGACACTCCCTTCCTACTTGAATCCCAATCGAACTCGCGCACTTCCACCGAAACTGGGTGACTGCGCCCTGCTAGATGGGGATTTGTATGCAAAATGTCACTAAAAGCGCCATTTCGTTCTTATAAAAGCACGGATGACCGCGACTGGCCCATATGTTGTAGTCTTTCGGACGCTGAGTCGCCTGGTTTTGGTCCAAGAAAGCTGCGATGCAGCGTTCCTCCTTTATTCCCAATCGAACATGGTTGAACAAGCGGTCACGTGCTCCTGCGTGCCCAAGTCACCTCAGTCCTGGTCACCGCGCCAGCAGGCGACAACTTTCACACCAAGATTCAACTCGAGGGACATGAATGCACCCCAAAAAAGGTCAAACAGGCTGTAAGTTGTACCCTGCAGGCACGGTGACCAGGTGACTGGTGTACGCAGGAGCACGTGACCGCTTGTTCAACCATGTTCGATTGGGAATAAGGGCCGAACGCTGCATCGCAGCCTTTTCGGACCAAAACCAGTCGACTCAGCGTCCAAAAGACTACAACATATGGGTCAATCGCGGTCATCCGTGCTTTTATATGAACGAAATGGCGCCTTGAGTGGCATTTTGCATACAAATCCCCATCTAGTAGGGCGCAGTCACTCGGTTTCGGTGGAAGTGCGCGAGTTTGATTGGGATTAAAGTAGGAAGGGAGCGTCTCAGCTTCCTCGGACCAAGACCATTCAACTCCGCACCCCGAAGACTACAACTGGTGAATTTTGATTTTAGGCTTAACTTCCCCTTTAATGTACAGACAAAACATGTACAGTGCTACTCAATGTAACCCGATCGCATGAATCAAGTTTGCGCCCTGCACCAGTTTACATCCCAGTGCCCACAGATCTAGGGTTGCACAGCGCCCGGCGTGGCATTCTTCCGCTTGATCGGATGTCGTTGAGCAGCACCCCACATGAGGTAGCGCATGCAAGACCTCTCGCGGGTAGATCCACCCTGCACACCTAACGCAGCAGCACAATAGTAAATGCCCGCACCGATGACAACAGCAATGGACACACACACACGCACACACACGTACACACACACACGCACGCACACAACTGTACCTGTTTGCGCACTGCGTGGCAGGGGCTGCGCTACGTCGCTGTCCGCCGGCGATCCAGTTGAGTTGTTGCTCTGGCGCTTGCGTGACGTGTGGCGCATCTGATACTTGCGTCCGTAATCCTTGGACTTCCGGCGTGCTGTGCTGCGCACATTCTTTTCAGGATGGAACACTATGATATATGCCTGGCAACACACACACACACACACGACAGCAACAGAACAACATACCACGTTGATAGTGCTGAGCAAAAAACACAAACGTTTGCTAATATAAACAGTGTAATATCTTCGACGGGGATGAATCTGATCTATTATCCTGGAAAGTAAGGAGTCAGGCAGAGAGAAAAAAAGGAAGAAGAAAAAAAAGGAGAGGAGAAAGAAGTAAGTTGGGTAGTCAGGTCACCAGCAAAAAGACCGAAGGCCCAGCGAAGGGTATCTGTAAGTCCCAACACTGTACATGTGAATTATTTGTGATGCGCCGCATTGAACACTTTTCGGATACAGTCATGCAGCGCATCTAAACGGTAGAATCACTTTCGATGGCACCACATAAAACTGACAGTGACAGTAACTACACACACACACACACACACACACACACACACACACGCACAAACACACACACACGCACACACACACACACACGTGCCAGGGGCGTCACGCGGTCCTAAAAAGTGGCACCACCGAAGGGAGGCAGGACGAAAGAGGGGCCCCGGGAACACCTTCCCCGGGAGAAATTCAAATTTGGGCTGAAGAGGGCTATCAATCACAATCATGCATATGTTCAGTTGCTGGCATACTACAGTACCAGGTCAACTCCAGGGCAAGAGTCATCTGTACAGTGTATGTACATACGAGTGAATGATCCAACAAATTTTTTATTGCTTTGTTAGGCCATCATTTTTTATATCTATGTTTCGCGTCGTCCGCACGCATACGTTTTGATTTTTTTCAGGAAAAAATAAAAAAAATCAACCATGCACAGTTAGCATGGCTAGTGTACGATCGTGCGAGTCATCAGTACTGGTTGCATACGGCGAAGCTGGGATTCAGAAATGGCCTCGAGGCCAGCGTTGGTAAATCGTTTGTTCGGCATCTGCGAGCAGTATTCTATGAGCTTACAACAGACCGAATCGATCGCTTCAAGCTGAGAGGATGCGTCGTTCCGGAGCTCTTTGCACCGCTGCTGAAGGCTGAGTACAATAATCCAGCGAAGCAAGGGCACCAATGGTTGCCTCCTCTGTCCAAAGTGATGCAAATAATAATTTTGTGCTTCGATGTACGATTTTTCTTTCGGATGTACACCATGCACGAGCTATTGTGCTATCTACAGTTCTATACACCTCTGCACCTGATGAGCCTTTTTTATTATTTTGCAACTTTTTATTTTTTTCCACCTCTCGCATATGATTCTGGATGTTGACCTGACGCGAAACATACATATAAAAAATGATGGCCTTAGGCCACACGTTTTTACTTCTATGTTTCTCGTCACCCGCGCGCATACGATTCAGGAGTCTGGAGGAAAAAAAGAAAAAAATGTGCTGCACTGACTGTGCATGTGGGGACCAGCACACTCATGCACATGTACATAATGTGGCCTGGCCTGCGCGACACATGATGCGAGGTCGCCATTTTTTGTGCGCAAACTAGCTGCACATGCACAGATTGTGACAGAAGCTCCTACCACATACTAGTTGCTAACTATGGATGCTATTTTGCATGGTGTATTGGTGGGTTTTAGTGTGAACAAAGGTCTAATAAACTTTTTTTATTTTTCGGTCATTTTTTTATTTTTTCCACCTCTCGCATACGTTTTTAGATTTTCAGGTGACGAGAAACATAGAAATAAAAAGGTGTGGCCTTTTATATGAATTGGGCAGACCACCTCGGACGAAATGTGGTGCGACCATGGTCGTACCGGCCGTACCGTGTGTGCCACCCCTGCGTGCACACACACGCGCACACTCACCTTTGGCACAAATAGGAAGGCCAACATGCACGTCATGTTGAGAATGTGCGGCAGGATCAGCATTGTTGGTTTGATATCCTCGCGCACCGTGGCAAACGCAGGAATGAAGGCAAACGAGACAGCGCAGATAGTGTATGTGCTGAAGTTGATGTACTTGGCTTCGTTGAAGTTCTCTGGAATCTTCCTCGTCTTCACGCCATAGTACGTGCAAAGCAAAAGTAGGATGATATTGTAAGCCAGGGAGATTGACAGGCCAAAGGAACTGGAGAACTTGCAGACAAGCAGCAGCTGCAGCAAACAAGAACACACCAGACCAGTTCACGGAATCATGCAGGATCTACAGGGGGAGTTAATAGTGAAACCCACTCACAGTTAGTTGGCCCACTTCAATCTCACAGTCGGTGTTCAAATTCCATCAAATTTGCCTTTTTCAAGGCATGAACCTCACAGTCGGTGTTCAAATTCCATCAAATTTGCCTTTTTCAATGCACACCCTATGTAGTGGCATTGATGAAAGATTGCCAGCTTGCTAGACAGTGAAGCCAATCGCACCACGTGCATAGCAAAGTACAGCCACATGCCTGCGCACACCCCAACACTCTGCAATACACCAAACGTATCTACAGGGAGGCCTCTATTATCCGCCATCATCCTGCACGGGTCCACAAGACACACGGACGTGCCACAACATAGGCAACTCATCTCCACTACATGTACCTTGCTGTTTGCTGTTTCAACCTTCAGGAAGGGAGTTGGCGGCTGCAATATCAGCCACACACACAGTAGTATGACCTGGGGCGGCACATAAGCAGCAGAAACACGAATAGAAGATGGCAATGCTGATCTCACGTGAATAGGCACGGTGATTGCTGGACAACGCAATAGCTCCAACATGAAAAGCAAATCAATCCTATCTACAATCTCACTTACAAGATTTGATTTGTTTTACTGCTTCATGGCGCACTGATTCATCGTTATCCCGACTACCAGGCACGTTTTGGCTGCCTTTCAGTTAGTGATGCAACAAAATGTTCTTTCTTCAAGGATTCGAACATTCGAATGCAAGCGAAATCATTAGAATATTCAATCATTAGAGTATCCGGGCTGTATAATCTTATCGACGAACCCCACCCTCAATACCCTCAAGAGTGGTACAGCGATTGAAATACAGATATGAGTGTACCGAAGTAAAGAGCCCTATTTGAATAGAACCCCCCCCCCCCCCCCCCTGAATCCCAGTATGACATCCAAAATTAAAGCCATAGCTTCGAGTGAGTGTGGGGTAGGTGGGGTAGCCATGCAAGCTCAGAATGGATGTCTGGTTGGGGGAAGGAAGGATATGGGCACCGGCTTACACAAGCATGTAAATATACTCGGGGTAGTGGCAGTATGCCAGGAACATAGCGATACTTACCTCAACCAGAACGAAACATCCAGTAAACACAAGCTGTGATGCAGGACTAATGTACTTTGGGCGGCCAGCTCCCGAGCGCCTGTTGAAGATACGCGAGATACGATTGGTCTTGACCAGGAGTGCGGACAGAGAAAGTGACAGTGTGAAGCCAAGGCCAACCCGCCGAATACCACAGGCTGCGGGAGACGGTGGCAAGAAGAAGGGAAAGACTAAAAGGTAGGAGAACAGAATTCCAATGAGTAGGCAAGTGCTCAGCTCACGGCTAGAGGCAACAACAAGTGGAGTGGTCATGTTCTTGATGAAGACAGCACTCACAACAAGCGTGGCTACTAGGCCAATGACGGTAAGCGCCACGGTAAAGCCACCGACAGCATTGGAATAGCCAATGTATTCCTGCACCAGGTCAACGCAGCCAGTTTGGCGACTATTCGCTGCCATACTGGACGGACAGCGCACACACGACACCACCGTGTTGTCGCGTGCAAAGTGATGGGGAGCGCACTTCACACACGACCAACAACAATCGCCGTCGGTAGTCAGCAGGCGCCGGTAGTAGCCATCCAGGCACTGCTCGGCACAGATCGACTTCTGTAGTGCTTCGCCATTGCCCAAACGCACTGGCTGTGTCATCCTCAAACCCATCTCGCGGCTCCACGTGCCTACCTCAACAAAGTCAACTGTTCGACCTGACTGCTGCATGACTGAAGAGTTCGCTCGCTTCACATTTTTCACCACATATCTGTATGGGTGAGCCACATCGAGAAAGGAGCGGGTTGACTTATCATACGCAACTCTCGTCTTGTTGTTGGTGATATTCAGCGCTGGAAGAATCTTAGAGAGTAATGTTGAATCCACAACATTACCAGTAGGTCTACTATCCCTTGCTGCAGAACAAAACCCAGGTGCAACACATGTTTGGCGGAGGGTTTCGTGAATAGCAGTGAGAGCCACTTCTGCTGCGCGAATGGTTGATGCTACCTTCGAGTCAGGTGTATAGAGCTTGCTGTCACGAACTCGGTGATTCCTGCATGGCGGTGAATTAAAGTTCGTACAGTTCGGGAACAGAGCCTTGAAGTAGTCGGTGTACCAGTTACCAATTGTGTTTGGAAATGCTGAGAAGGTTCTGGCCTCAAAATCGTCCAGGAACATCTTCACATGATCGTCATCAGCAAAGTAGGGCTCAACGGACAGAATTCCCAGAGCTTTATCACCTAAATTGCGTAGGGAGTACACATCACCGGACAATGTGTCACTGACAATGAAGGTCATCGGTCTGGATTGTAAGACTCCACTGCCTTGCACAACTTCTAAAAATCGCTGCGACGACTTGGCAGACATAAATAAAATGACAATGGTGGCGTTGCGATGCCACACAGTGTCCTCATTGCGAGTCAGCTCCGCCAATGCATCATGATACGTGCTATCTTCGGCATGCACGCCCACTGCAATAGATGCGGCCAGGCAGAAGCGGAAAGAGCTGTTGCCAGCACCCCTCTGTCGCTGAATAAAATCCTGGTTTGCTGCTTGGCCGTAGTCATCATTGGAGTAAACTAACGACACATACGACCAATTGAAGTGTTCCATTAGCGCTATAACTGAGGAAACTTGATACTGGTCAGTAGGAACGGTACGATAGAACAACGTGGTATCACCACTCATACTAAGGATATCTGATGACGCTGCGTAGCTAATGTGTGGTAGGTCGAAAAGAGTGAGAATATTTGTGAGGGCAGACGTCAGTCCACTGGAGGATGCCCCGAGAACAATTGACACTGGCTTTCCTCGATGAATGCAGGAACTCCCAGTGTTTATGAATTCCAAGGCGTGATCTCGTAAAATCGTTTCAGTTGAGCAGGTGTCTCTCAAATCATATCCGATTGTAGTTTGAGTGTTGAGCGCCAAGGTGGGAACGAGAGGCAAATTCTCCAATGCCCATCTCGCAGCTTCCAACCTTTGAAGCCCACCACCAGGTCTCACATCTCCGCACGTCGACTTATTATTGGAATCGTGGACAGAGAAGAAACCACCAACTATAATCGCTCCTTGTCGACTCATACATGGCGAGGCCGTAGTGCATGGTCCATAGAGGCTGGAGTTGAACAATATGCTGCTTTGGCCCTTGACTTTGAGCATCGATAGAAGTGTGACCAGTATTCCAAGCCACGCTCCCCGCAGAGCCTTCATTCCTCCTCCTCCTGTCAAACAGGCTTTGAAGCCTGCTGTCACCTACATGTAACTTCCAACCATAAATCTCTTCCCGGACAGGCCTATCACACCCCCACCAAAGGTAAAAGGACAGAGAACAACTAATTTTCGCAAACGAACAACAGGCAAGCTTGCATGACAGGTGGTCTCCTAACTTCTCAGCGAACCAAAATACAAAGCGAAAAATATGAAACCGGATCGGATCGGATCGGCTGGATCATGGATTGGATTGGTGAGTACTGCGGTACATAGTTCACCATGGTTCACAACCACGGCACTTGTTGTAGTCCATATGTAGCTGCGCACTATGCACTTCACATCACCGGTGATTACGGACGGTAGATCTACGCGTTTATCCGCGGTAGAGCCCCAGTATACTACTACAATGTTGTAGTACTAGTAGAGGGCAGGGAGCCCTACACATGTACCCCGGTAGATCTACGTGGGGAGATCTACGAGCTGCATGCAGACCCGCGGGCCCGTACATCTACCGGATAGTATTCATGGTATTACCATTACAGGATAGTCTCGTATGATCGTAGATCTACTGCGCTGGTGGGTAGATTTGTAGATACGATATTTCTCGTGACGGGTAGATCTACCGCGGGTGTGGGGCCTGTGCTGGGCTGTGGGTTGTAGCAAGAGTGGGGGGTTATGTACTCTTGGTTGTAGTTGCGGAGACGGAGGAGGAGCGATTTGAGGTCGCAAATGGGGGTAATAATCAGGGAGTAGTACAATACATATACAATACCGGTATTGTACTACTCCCTGGTTATACCAAGAGTACATAACCCCCGGGGGGTTATGTACTCTTGGTTATACTAATAAGTAGTAGCAAGGGGTTATGTAGTAGTATTCTCCTGGAGCCCGGTAGTCTGAGCTACTGCTGCCATCTCTGCATCAGGTCCTGAGTTGTATCCACATGTACATGTACATCTGACTGACCGTCAGCGGCTTAGCGCAGCTTCCTTTTCATCCTCATCATCAGTGTTGTGTTTTTGTGGTCTGTTGTTGCTCCATCCCGAGTATTAGCTATAGCACTCAGAGTAGCTCTTGTTACTACCGGTGCACGGTCAGTAATTGTCCAATGATTGCCTAGCGACATGAAACTCAGAGTCAGAGTTACCACCAACCTGAGTCTGCTATGTGTACTAACTAAGCTCTGTCTCTGACATTGAGCACTCTCTGCAGCTAGCTCGGGGATCAACGGATTTGGTTACAGTAACTTACACGTATGTACTGCTACATGTAGTATGAGTCTTTGTATAGTAAATAACCATCCGGAAGAATCTTGAAACAACCAGGTGAGATCGTCTACAGCTATTATTACTCGTTTCCGAGTAGACCTTCCGGAAAGCAGTACCGGTACTCGTACACTACTGTATTCCGGTATACCGAGGGTGAGAGGTAATAAAATAGTTTATCACTCCCTTAGTATTAACTCCCATAGATTTTTGCCATACCTAAGCAGTCAAAATATTCCTGCATATTTCACTCCTTAGGGCGATATTGACCGCTTATATTTGACTCCTTTTTAGCGATTGAACACATGCTTTGGTTAGTCGTGATAAATCTAATATTGACTTCGTACTTGGTCAATATAGGAAATAAAAGACCTCGTAAAAGACCACGGCTTCGCCTCGGTCTTTTACTCGGCTTTTATTTCCTCGTACTCAGTCAATATTAGATACAACAGCACATGACAGTATACTAGTAATGCACAAGAGTACAATACATGTACATACCATGTACCATGTACCATGCACCATGTACCATGACTGTTGTATGCCCGTCGCAAGGGAAGCACGCAAATCTGCAAATGCACAGGTTGTGCACCCACAGATTTTCTCTTCTACAGCAACGATAGCGAACAAGATCTGAATGAGACAGATCAAGACTTGCGCCAGATAACTGTCTAATCCACACAACTGGCGAAGCCATGTGAATCGACCACCAAATGCACACCTGGTCTACACCACACGGAGTACATGTACAGTCGACTAGTACTAACGAAATAACCCCCGTGGCCGTGGGTGGTTGCTGATTCAGTGATTGCATGCACACGAACTAAAAAATGGTTGTACAAACAAATGCGCATCAGAGCTGCGTTGCTACCACTACCAGAGAAGACAGGTGAGTCCTACTCCCTCACAATGCCGTCAATGGCCCTCATCCGATGTCGTCTTGGCGTAGCGCTACTCTGGGCAAGTGTGATGTGTGTAAGTGTGTGTGTATGTGTCTGTGTCTGTGTGCATGTGCGTGCGTGCGCGCGCATGTGTGTATGTGTGTGAGAGAGAGAGAGGAGTTGCTGCATGTCTAACATTAACATGGCTGTTCGCTATCATCGCTTAGGCGATGGGCATGTCTGAGTCTGAGTCCCAGTGAGTGTGTGGTGTATGGTAGCTGATCCATGTTTCCGCCCATGTCTCTGTCTAGGCCTTGGGATGGGGCTTGACAGATTATGCTAGCATAATTTTTCGCATACCAAAATCGAATAATCAGTTGTACCAAGAGTACGGTTTATGAATTATGTCTACTATTATCTGGTGAGCCATACTCTGCAGTGATGGCATGGATCCGCTGCAGGTTCAGCTTCGCCCTTCTCCGTGCAGGCGTGGCTTTCCTGCGTGGTGCACGACGGCTGTATTCGCACCCGGAGGTGGCTGAGTCATCCGCTCGACTCGCTGTCTCGGAAGCTGCCATACAGCACTAGACACTTGTTTATGCCTCGTCATCATTGCTTTTTCTCGTATGGTCCATGTATGTAACTACTGGTACTTGTTTTTATTGTATCACTGTGTTACTTAATTCTGCCCGTACAAGAGGCCGGTTTACCAAGTTAAAAAAAAAAAAAAAAAAAAAAAGTTTATGAATTATGTACTCTTGGTTGTACCATGAGTACATGTACTCTTGGTTGTACTAGTACAAGTACAAGTAGATGCACCAGGAAGTCGTAGGTTTACGACTCCCTTGAGAACATGTCCAGTCCAGTGACCAGGGTGACGGTCGTAGCTACAATTATAGGTCGGACAGTCGACAGTGCGTTGACCTGTTGCTACTACAGTACAAGTAATTAGTTACCTCTACAAAACAATTCACCTGTTATTTTGCACAGAACCATCATACTTTGAAGTATACATGTACAATCATTAGCAGCATATTTGAGCATAATGCGGCATAATATGATAACTTTTAGCATAAAGAATGAAACTGCAGGAGGCCTCACCGCTTCTAATCTTTTAGCATAAAAATAGCATAATTCTGCAATTTTTTCAGCAATGCGAAAAGCATAATTTCACGAAAATATTAGCATAATCTGTCAAGGCCTATCTCTGTCACATACTTGTACATGTACATGACTGTAATCATTGTCTGCTGCCATAGTTGCTTCGAATCCAGAGGCATGCATTGTGGCTGACTGAATAATGTACGTGTATGCTGTTGATTACCCACCGTGTCCTGGTTTTTCTTTTTTGTTTCCCCGGGCTTTTTTCTGAAGTTTTTTGGACATGTACTAAACAAATGACCCCCCCCCCCCCCCCCTCACTCTACCAGCGATTACCTCCTTACCTGGCATGCCGGGGCTCACTGACACTCAGTACATATAATGCGGATAATGCCTCCTTCCTCTCATGTCCAAACTTCTCGAGAGGTGTGCACTAGAGCAATTTTCGCAATACATGGATAGCGCCAGTCACATGGAATCCCTCCCTGCAGTTCAGTTTGCGTACGGCAAAAACCACTCCTGCGACGATCTTCTCGCTCTGGTGGCAAATGATTGGAGTCAAAGTCTAGACCAGAACGAGTATGTGGCTACGGCTTTCCTCGACATGTCCAAAGCCTTCGACACTGTCAACCACAGTTTGCTCCTCCAAGAACTGCTCGAGATTGGTGTGGGAGGGGTTGCACTGCGTTGGTTTGCATCATACCTTACTGACCGCCAGCAGAGAGTTGTCACCAAGTCTAGCAGAGGTGCCTGTTTTTCTGCCTCCAGAGGTGTACCTCAAGGATCTATCCTTGGCTTGGACCCGTCTTGTTCAATCTTCAACGGCTGTCCGCAAACTGCCAGAGTGTGTTGCTAGTACCAAGGTCCGTCAGTTTGCTGACGATGTTTCTGTCTACAAATCCGGAAGGGATCCACAGAAGCTCACTGCAGACTTGGCCAGAGACGTTCTGTCAATCCGCAACTTCCCCCGGGACCACGGCCTTAAACTCAACGCGGAAAAGACACAGTTCATCATATTCCGCCCAAAGTCCAAGGCTGTCCCAGCTAATCTCCAATTGTCAATTGATAGCACTAGCATACCGCCTTCAGCCACGATCAAATACCTCGGCCTCCTGTTCGACGAGCATCTTACGTACCGAGATCACATCACGCTCCTGGAACGCAAGATAGGCACTAAACTTGCTGTGTTCAGGAAAATCAAACACAATCTAACACCTGCTGCCAAACGAGTCTTCTACTGTTCCTTCATTCAGGCCCAACTTGAATACGGCTCTAATGCATTCGCGCACAGCCTCCAAGTCTCGCAAATGGACCGCATTACTCGTATATCTAACCGTGCTGTTCGGATTGTCTTTGGCTACCCGAAGTACTACGATGCTTCTCTTGTTCTAGCTAGGAACTATCTCGCTGCTATTTCCCTTAGATATCAATTTCGCCTGTTTGTACTGGTGTTTCGAGCCCTCCATAAGTTATGCAGTCCACTGCTCTCGACCTGCTTCCTCCCTCGCACTGCCACTTCACAAACCTCAGCCCATACACGGTCTCAGTCCACTTTGTCACTTAGTCTTCCTTTAGTTTCTCGCCGCTATGGTTTATACTCGCTTAGCTTTCTTGGTCCCGATCGTTGGAACGCGCTTCCTGCTGATATTCGCACAATCCCCTTGCTCAGAAACTTCCGTTCATCTATTCAACAATTCATAGGGTACCCTGTAAAAAGGCCCTAGGCCTGTGGGCCATGGGACTGCCCTATTCAAAATTTAATAATAATAATAATAATAATAATAATAATAATGCCAAGTAGTGGTTGCGACTTCGGCGATGATTTGTAAGAAAGGGTTTGCTCCCCACAGCGGAATAGCGCGAGCTCCGGTGTGGGGAGCAAACCCTTTCTTACAAATAATAATGCCGACAGAAAAATTGGCAGAATTCGGTACTTTTCG